GAAATTTTCTATTTATTGACCCCCCCCCATTTTATTTAAATTCTAAGTATTGTATTTAATACTTCATTTCAAATACACTGTGATAAATTGCTTAGGCTTGTTGTTTGTGCATTCTGCTTCTGCTGTAGTTTTTCCTAGTAGCCATGGGGTTGCGTGAGCGGTGACCAGAGATCTTACTGACACCCGATTAAATCCAGCCAACAAGCAGGGATAACCCGTCTGTTTTCCTGACCCCTTTTCAGGGGGCTAAGCCACTAAGACCTAGCTTTCAGGGAGAGCTTTTGGGTGGTCCCTGACAAAGTGTTCTCAGATAAGTTCACCCCTTCTTGTCTCAAGCGATGGTGGAGAAGCCTCTGATGCTCCCCATTCCCCGCAGTCAGTCACGTTGTATACAAGCCTGTGAGCACACGGCTATTGCCCAATCTGTATGCATATAGCCTCCAAACTGCCTGTTCCAGGAGGGTTAGTGGGAAAGATGAAAAATGATAGGGTGAGGGTATGTTGTAAATATACAACAAATATATGTAAATATAGGCAGAATTTAAACAGTCCTATGGGTAAGAGAATAAAAAGTAGTCTGAACACTTTGGCTATCATATTTTGTTTCACTCATTCCAAAGAGTAAATCTGCATTTACCTTTTTTTTTTTTTTTTTACTCTCTGATAAAGTTTTGCAATGAGTAAATAAAGTCAGAATTCGTGTTTAAGAAATAATCCAGTAATAATATTCTATTTATCAAGATAATTATCGATGTGCTGAGAGATGTGTGTTTACATTTCTTGTCTATCCCCTGGGGACATGGTCCTATCATCTGTGTATATAAACTGAAGTTACAAAACTGCCAAAGAGTCTTCAACAGTTAGTAGTTACTTCAAGAAGACCATTTCTGGAAACATGCTTTTATTTATGTAGCCAAGAAGTTGTGCTTACATATCTCTCTGTGGACTATGACTTTTCTTTTAGACAAATGGCTATTGTACATTTATTGGATTTTTTCCATTCTGAGGTTTCGTTGTACGTGTATGAAAATGCAAGGTAGCTGTTAATACGTCGACTCTAATAGAACCAATATCTGAAAACTCTTGGGCAGAGTCAAATGGTGGCAGTCTTACCTGGACGCTATCGAGTGATTGAAACAGAATGTCAAATAAGTTAATTCTAAAATGATTTTGATTTTTTTTCAACCAATAAATGGAACCAAAATAAAGCTTTTGCTAATTAGTTTTACAAATGATGAAATCTCTGACATCAGGAATGCCGATGTAAATTTAGTTGAAACAATTATGTTTGGGAATTATTTAACTTATAGGGATAGTATAAATGCAAACTTTGATGGAGGATAGCATCATGGCTAATAAAATGTTTTTACAAAATGAAGGCATTTATGAGGCAGAAGTGTACTTGGGATTGGCCACAGTGCCCTGATTATCCATGACTGGGTACAGAAGAATGATAATGCTCCATTGATTGAATTAGAAGCTGTCTTGTCCACACTTATAAATATTTTGTATATACAGTATTAGGTAGCAACAACAAAGTTGTTTGTGACAAATATATTTCAGATATGAAAAATACACTTCAGTGTGTCAATATGTACTCTGTTTTTTGCTGCCGGTCATCAGTTTGATTTTAAGAATGTTTGAACCTTTGAGGAGCTCTTAGTCAACTTAAACGTTTTCCAGAGCTATTGAACTCTTGTGAAAAAAGATCTCTACAGTTTTTGTTGCATTTGGGTCATAAACAGTTGGAAAATTTTATCAAAATCTTTGATGATTGAAATGGTAAGTAATTTCATCTTGAAAGCTTTTAGTGAGTAAAGGTGAATTTTAAAAGAACTGGCAAAAAAGACACTGCATTTTTTTCCCCCCACAAAAACCAGTAATATTTAACGCAAAGTAAATGACAAGGTCAAATGTTGTGCACATTTCAATATTTAATTCTGAAGTCACCCTTTGGTATATCTCAATTTGTGGAAAATCTTTTGATTTTTAATAGACTAAATATCTATTTGACCCAAGAATGGAAGGAAATTGAGAAGTCATTTATTTATCAGCATAAATTTTGTGAAGCAGTCAAAGGAATTATGGATACAACTTAGAGTTTTGTTCTAAAGAATGTTTGACAGAGAAAATCCATATGAATGGATACAAAAAGGCCTTTGAAAATATTTAAGCTAAAATATATAGGGATCTCAACATTTAAAAATTAAAATTGATAATGATTTTCTCCATGTAACACATTTTTTTGGTGTGAAATTTCAAGGTATCTCAGCACCTATAGAAAGAGTATTTTTTGTAATTAAAATTATGATCCACAGTAGAGTCAATTAAAGGTGTCAACTTAATGACTATTAAGTGCAACTCTGAAGATGATTAAGAACAATTTTTCTGAAATATATAAAAAGAATATTAAAAAGTACATTTTTTTTTTTTAGATTTTATTTATTTATTTGTCAGAGAGAGAGAGAGGGAGAGAGAGCAAGCACAGGCAGACAGAATGGCAGGCAGAGGCAGAGGGAGAAGCAGGTTCCCTGATGAGCAAGGAGCCCGATGTGGGACTCGATCCCAGGACGCTGGGATCATGACCTGAGCCGAAGGCAGCTGCTTAACCAACTGAGCCACCCAGGCGTCCCAAAAGGTACATTCTTTTGAAAAGTGCCCTGACCTGGGATTATAAACGTATATAACTAGGAAACCAGTTAAATATGTGAATCTGTAGCACAAATAATCATTCTTTATGTATCATTTAGAAATGTCCAAATAACATAAATAAGTTCCATTTTAATATATATAAAGTATGCTTTATAAAAATTTGAAGTAATGTGTTTATAAAAATAAAATGAAATAATTATGTGGATTCACCAAATATAAAATCAAATTGATAGTTGATAAGTATTTCAAAAATTATATAATTCTGATTACTTTTACTCTTGAAAGTGTAGAGATTTGGTTGATAAGTTTTTATCCTGTTAGCCTAGATACGGTAAGACTCTTAGCCTTGTCTTTGGGTATTAAATATGCAAACTAAAATACCAAATTCATTAAAAAGGAAAAGGACATGGAGACAATCATTTATTATTTTGGTATACTAACTTATACTTCCTTCACAACCAGAACCTTGGCATTTGGGTGTTTTTTTGGGGTGGGGGAGAACACACACACACGCGCGCGCACACACACACACACACACACACACACAGAGTCAATGGAACTAGGATGTTTTTATGAACTTGAGCCACATGGAAATTTGAGTCATTTTCCAAGAAATTGTTTTGACCTGAAGTCTATGCTACTGAAAAGAGGAAGCTACTTTTGCCCTTTGGGTCAAATTCCCTAGTGCTTTCAAATCCTCCTTTATAAACATGAATACTTATGTAGCAGACAGAGATGGGTTTTCACCATTGTGCCCATTAATAGATGTGGCTGAGCATGAATTAGGTTGCTTCGGTGGCATACCTAATTTTTAATGCAAGCTGCTTGAAGAATTAGTAAAGGAAATAAGAAATTTTAAATTGGGGTGAAAACACAAATGTCATGCTAGTTTGATTTAACAAGAGGACACAATGAACCTACTTTCTTCTATACAGATTGCTTGGATTAAGTAGTTCAGCCCAGATGGTAAGAGGTTCTTCAAATCACCCCAGCACTCTTTACTAAAGAGGGTCTAGCAGTAGTACATTCTAACCTCTGCCCTCCCTGTGATCTGTTTCTGCCACGTAGCTTCATAAACAGGGACAGGTGGGAGAAGGGAAGTCTGTGCTTTTGTGAAATTTCTGCCATAATTTTATGTGAAATTTTAGCCATAATCACTAACCAGGTGGTGGATTCTCCTTCCCACACAAGTTGTGTCCATTTTGATGGAACAGAGAATGCACAAGGAGAGTGAAGTCTTTTCTTTTGCTGTATAGAAGGTTATTCTTAAAATGCTGTCATAAATTTAGAAGGTTTTGCTCCATAAGTTAGGATAATTCTAATTCAAGTAAAATTCTAGATAGAGAAAAATTTGAGGTTTTGGGTATTATATAGTATATGTAGTGGCTACAATGACCTAGATAGACAAGAGCTGAGAGGAATACTAGCTAAATCCCAGTTCCAGTAGAGTTCCCCGGGACCTAGATTATAAGAATATAAGAATTTGTGTAAAAATACCACTTTAGAGAATCATCTTTTCTCCAACATTTGGATAATTTATGAATTCTTTTTGTAAGCATTAGCTGCATAACATGGTAAAACACACTTGAGGTTTTCTATAAGCAAGATACGGACAATGGTCTTAGGAGGCTAAATTCTGGTTCACATGAAGAACTGGAGACTGAGGAAGATGAACATGTATTTGCTTCTACTTCTGTGAAGGAAAAGCCAGTCAGTCATTGGGAATCCTCCATGGGAGAACCCGTGTAAGATGCAGTCTCCAGCAGTGACTTTGTAGTCTGCCTCCAGGTGCCTACTCTGTTTCTGAGGTGGTTGCCAAAGGATGACTGAAATGTTTGTCAGACTTGCAGTGTGTTCAAAACATGACTAAAAATGCAGCAGAGTTTGACAAAGAAGCCACAGTACTAGGAGACCTGTCACCTGGATTTGCACCATACTGTGTTGTCACATATTGGAAACATATCTGAAGGACTGTGAGGGAATAGGGTAAGGTGAGCCGGCAGATAACCCTGTGAAGCCAGACCGGAAATCAGGGTCAGCCAAATGGAGGAGGTTGCCAAGTCCTCTGACAGAAGCAGTAGCTTCCACAGAGAAATGAAGCTCTTGGTTCTATGGGAATTTCTACACACTGAAGTAGTGACTGAGACATAATGTGAATGGTTGCCTCTGAATGAGTGGGTAACTGTTCTTTGGAGTCAATAAATATTTTAAGTTGTGAAACATGTGATTCATCTCTTGGAGTCACTCTTTTCATCATAACCATGTTATTTTAACATGGTATAGTATTTTCTACAGCAGGATAATAAAAATGAAGTGACTGAGCTAAATCTTGCTTTTATGTTTCCTAGGAATCCGAGAAAAAGGGCTTAATTGAGAGAATCTATATGGTACAGGATATTGTTTCAACTGTTCAAAACATCTTGGAGGAAGTAGCTTCGTTTGGAGAAAGAATTAAAAAGTAAGTTCTACATTTGTGTTGTGTTTGAAGTAGAGCTGCTGTGTATTAGGACAGTGGGGGTAAGAGGATGGGGAGGGCAGGGATCAGTAAATGCAAAAACAAAAGAAACAAAAGCTACAGTATTGGAGCAACCGTATTTGTATGTGTTGGTTTGTTCTTTGGGTTTGTCAGCTTCACAGTTGGGTAGTGCCTTGGAACCTGGTTGACCATATGGCCAATTCACACCAATTGCCCCAGCATAATTATTTCACTCTCAAAAGTATCCTCATTTTGGTGATAAATTATAGATTAAAAAAAAATAGAGTATCATATTCAGAAATAAAAAGGGAGACAAATATGCTCTGAAACTTCCTTTTTCAACTGAAACATGGAACACAATAAATGCTTTTTTTCCTCAACTTACCAAAGAGCCATACATAGCAAGTAGCATCATGGATACAAAGATGGGAAGTTAATTCATGACTTAGGACAGGGGTCAACTGACTTTCTTTATGAAAGGCAGTGAGTAAATATTTTCATCTTTGTGGACCACAACTACTCAACTCTGTTAAGCATGAAAACGGGCATCATTGATACCTAAACGAATGGCTGTGATATGTGTTCTAACAAAACTTTATTTACAAAAACAGGTGGCAAGCTAGAGTCGACTTAAACCCAACCCATGGCTTGCCACTTCCTACCTTAGGTCACAAGGACTAAATCTCCAATGGAGTCTTGGTTGAGAAAGACTGTTTCTATGTTTATTTTGTTTCAGACATCATGAACTCTGTTTAACTCAGTCTTCATTTGGTACCAATGAACAAAGCAATTGAAACATTTTTTTCTTTTAACTTTAAACTTATTTCTTCAAATCCAGAACTATATCAACTATCTACTTTCTGAAGATTCATTGATAGCTTTTTTTTTTTCTTATTTTATTGTCCAGTATAGTTTCTGTAAGAAGAGAAGATAATATGCATGGGTAGGGGTGCCTGAGTGGTGCATTTGGTTAAGTGTCTGACTCTTGGTTTCAGCTCAGGTCATGATCTCGGGGTCATGAGATCAAGCCTCGTGTTGAGCTCCACGGTCAGTGCAGAGTCTGCTTGAGATTCTCTCTCCCTCTCCCTCTGCCCCTCCCACTCATTTTCTCTCTCTCTCTCTCTCTAAAATAAATAAATAAATCATAAAAAAAAATTGCATGGATAAAGAAGAGATTAATGTTAGTGCTAAAAGCCAAGGGAAAGTTTTATATATCGAGAGGATATATAAAAGAGAGGAGGGAAATCGGTAAGTTATAACAAATTTCAGGAAATATAAATAGCTAATATGGAACTTTGTGTGGACGCTGATCTTTCTCGGTTCCTTATCAAATCCAGTTTCTCTTGCATGGCCATTTGTTGGCATAATAAACATGTTTGTTTTGTTTATAAAGTAAGTTATAAATCATCTTAAATTTGGCTTTACTGAGTTTACATGTTGCTGTTCCCATTATCCATGTCTTAGAAGAAATTAAAGAGAAGGAGAGTTTTGGCTTACACATATTGATGCCCATCTAGATGTCATATAAATTGACCAATGATTTTTGAAGTTATCCTCAAAATTGTTTAACAGAAACATAAGTGACAAGAGGAAATAGATGATGAGGAGGGCATTTTACTTCTCCCTTCATTCACTCATTAACTCTCAGTCCTGAGTGTCAGGCACTGACTCGGTCTAAGAATGAGAAATATTCCATAAAACCATGATAATAGCAACGTCAGCTCATGTCATGCGCTAGCCAGACACTATTGTAAACCCTGAACGCATAATAATTTCTTTAAGAAGTTGCTGGCAGGAATCGGATTAAAAGATTCCAACTGACCTCTGGATTAAGGATTTTTAGTGTATCCATTTTACAGATGAGAAAATGGAATCACAGAGTGATTAACCCTCAGAACTACTAAGCAAAGAAGCTTAGATTTGAACCTGCCCTCGCTATTGCCCTACAATGCCATTTTCCTGCAGGGATAGATTTTGTAGTGAGGGAGAACAGTAATAACTAGAATTCAGTTGCATTGATGAGAGGTAGAGATAAGACGGGGTGGCAGGGAAGGCCTGACCAGCCTAGAAAGGGATGTAGGAGAGAGAAAGACAGACAGGGGGCATTTCTGAAGAAGGGGCATCTTGTCAGTAAGTCTGATAACAGGAAGAGATAGCTGAGCAAAGAGTTAATGAATGGAGACTTCAGTTGGTGGGAGACTGTGCAAAGGCTTCCAAAGCCCAAGACTATGCTAGATCCAGGGAGGTGCATGGGGTTTAATATGTCTGTGTGATACCATATGGTAGTGCTCATGCTTGAAGCTCATACAGGGTCCTGAGTGGGTGGAAAAAGTCAATGAAAAAAACTGGATGAGGGACATTGTGGCAGCAAGAAGGATAAAAGGATGTGGAGCAGGGGCAAGACGGAGGAAGGAAGGCCATGGCGTTTAGTAAAACCTTCTCCACGCTTGAAGGTCTCGAATAGACAAATGTGGCTGTTGTGCAATTGATAATGGTCAAGAAAATGTGTCTGATGAGAGAAGAAGGCAGGGTGATTTAAACAGGCCCCCATCTCTGCAGTGTGTCTGAGGGGCAGCTGTGCCCGGCACAGCTGTGGTGGCCATGTCTAAGACGTATTTTCAGCCATGAACAGAGTACTGTTCTGCCCAGCTGCAGCACAGGAAGGAAAGCTCATAAGTCTCCACTCCTATTAATTCTTGGGCCATTCATTACCACAGTGACCTTAAAGTTCCTTCTGGGCATTCAAGTGGGATGGCATGTGTAACTCTGTTGGAATTCCATTGTAATTCAGTGTCGAAGGACCACGAAAACTTTTACCCAACTTCTGGCAACTGGTAAATAAGTAAAGCTTGCATAATACTCAGAGCAGGGCTTTCCAGTTACTGACCCGGAAGACTCCAATCGTATTGCATCTACATGGCACAAACTATATTTTCTTTTTCTACTCTTCTCTACTTTCTCTAATTACCTTCTCTAATATTATACAAATTTCAAATGTATATCTGTAACAGGCTAAAATATTTACTGAACATGGTTCACCTTATATTATCTCAAACAGCAGGCTAGATGGCTATATTTTATGTCTTCTCATTATGGAGTGTTGCCTTCAACACGTGTATATTTGAGTGGTTAAGGAAATCTCTGCACAGGAGAATGAGAAACCTAGGACAGGAAAGTCATCCCTGTAGATATTCCAGAGTCCGGTTTGGAAGGTACATTCATCAGAAGGAGAACTTCTCTAGATGGGAAGTGATGCTGAGAAGGACTAGGCACTAAAGATGAGGAAGGAGGAAGGAGGTTAAGCGTAGCTTGGATCGCCGTGAAGACGTGGGGGAGTGGTAGAGCAATTGATCTTCTGTTTGTTGAAAGGAACAAAGAATGAAGAATGAAGGCAGAAAGACCAAAAAGTTGGCCAGACAGAAGGTAGAGGAGAAGGTTCACAAGCTAGAGTAAAAACCATGCCTCGTGAATGAAAGCATCTTGTGGGATCCATAACAAAAGAATAATCTGTAAGATTATATGATCAGTCATTTCTGTCTCCATGGGTAGAAGAGTCAGAAGACCTCATTTGTCCTAGCCTGGGAAGTGAGGAAAATCAAGATTCCATGGACATAAGGGTCAACTAGTGGGACACCCATTTGGGGGAGGAACTACAGGATGGAGCTGTTACCCCCTCTACCGGATGTGGACACACTCATTTTTCTTTAGGGCTTTGGACCTTTGAAAATGATATTCTTAGGACATGTTGCTAAGCCTGGATGGTTGAAGGAAGGAAGGGGATTCATTGAATTTTTTTCTTTTTTCACTAATTGAAAGGTTTGACTCATTTGTCTCATTACTGTCCAAGTCAGGGATTCCTTTCTTAGGAATTTAGGGAGCTCTCAAGTTGGGGAAATTAGGGAAGTTGTGGAACTGTTCAATGAAGTATTTGATTTTCAGATGGAAAGGGTTTTTGTTTTGTTTTGTTTTGCTTTTTTAACTTTGGGTGTTCTGTGAAAACCAGCACAAGATACTCTATGTTAATGGAGAGAAGGTCTAGTAAGTTCTTGAGTGTTAGAGGATTTATAGTAAAATGTCTTTGAACTAAGTACTCTGTATAAACAGGAACATTAAATTAAGTGAGAAAAATGTACCTTTTTACAGTTTCGAAAGTGCCTACTATAGAACGGCAGTGAGAGTGGGCTCTGGAGCGGACTTTCTGAATTCAGATCCCAATTCTGTCACTTGTACTGAGCCCAAGTGATTTAATGCCAGTTACTTAACTTTTAAGACTCAGAGTCCTCATTTGTAGAATGGGAGTAATAATGATTCCTACTTCATAACATTTTTGGAAGAATTAGATGAATTAGTGCATATAAAGAGCTCAGACTAGTGGATGGCATGTATTATTCACTTAAGAATATTGACTATTATGAATATTATTTTTGGCAAACTGCCTTGACGTTCTTTTTCCATGTCTTAAATTAAAAAAACAAAATTAAGAAGCAAACGTCTCCCTTTTTTAAAAAAAAATTTTATTTTTTATTTTTGGAAGATTTTATTTATTTATTTGACAAAAGACAGAGCAGGAACACAAGCAAGGGGAGTGGGAGAGGGAGAAGTAGGCTTCCCCCTGAGCAGGGAGCCTGATGCAGGGCTCAATCCCAGGGCCCCAGGATCATGACCTGAGCCAAAGGCGGGTGCTTAATGACTGAGCCACCCAGGCACCCCTAAAAAAACTTTTAAACATTTTCTGCTAGAATTGTGGGTTGCTGAAGGGAAAATGCAGGAGTTAACTGATTTGGCTGTTGGGAGAGCGATCTGACAGGGTGTTTGTCAGAGTATCTGATACACATCTTCATTAGAAATGAAACACCCAACACTAATACACATGACACATCACACACTTGGACACACAAACAACCACTGAGATCTTTAAAAGGGTTGCATTAATTGGAAAATAATTGACATCTTGATAAAATTTTAAGTCTTCTCATAAAGTC